CAAAGCTTTAGGGGATATAATAATGGAATAACAACTGTCTCAGTTTCAAACTAAAATAAACTGCGATCTTTTTATATTTTTTTGTGCGACTCTTCGAGAATCATAGAGGATGTAATTCTTATGAACTAACTTACGGGACAATTGAAACTGCTAACTATTTGTTCAATAGGCAACCTCCACGAACTAAAGGAGCAATGTTCATTTTTTCTCGACAAATAATGAGAGCATTTAATGACTCATTCATTCACCCCAGAAGGTAAACGACAAGCAGCAATTAAAGAACGGTTAGTATTGCGAAAAGCAGGATTGGCTCACTACTTCCCATGCTCAGAGTCTTCAAAGCCAGACTTACAACCAGCCAATCATAAACTAATGATATCTTTAAGCTTATGTTATAAATCGACCCTGAAATCTTAATGCATAACATTTACTTGTCAAATCTAAACATTCATGAAATATCCGTGAATGACAAGAAGACAAAAAATTTCTTCATTTGAAGACTTGTTCAATCACTTCAAAGGCTAAACAATAAAAAACAATTAAAGAATAACCAAATTTGGAAAAAGCGTGATTGGCTCAATACTTCTTCGCATATTCATTGTTCTCGAAGTTAGATGTACAGACAACCCAATCATAACCTAAGATATCTCAAAGCTCATGTAAGCAATCAACCCTTTAATCTTGCTTCAACATTTACTTGCCAAATCTAAACACACATGAAATGATCTGTTAATGAAAACATGCCAATTCTCCATTTAGGATCACTCAGGTATAGTAAATAAATAGGATCAAGAGCAACGGATAAGATTTTCAAGAGAACAAGTTCAAATTGGCCTTGATTCGATGCCTAAAATCGCCTTCACAAAAAGAAAAATAAAAAAATAAAGTTTCTGGGCACAACAGAGCAATTCAAAGTGGCGTGTCCAAAAATACTCAAATTACAGTCATAAACACATTTACAATCAAGCAAATATAGCATTTCCAACGAGTGTAAGAAATTATTCATTTCTGTTTATACGAACAAACAATTAAACGGTAGCCCATTAAGATCCCCCCAAACAAAATTAAAATTTGAGCACCACCGAAATTTAAAAACCAATTGGTTCATTTAATTTACAGATACAAAAATCACTTCTTATCTAACCAAATTCAAGAGAATTTTTCAATCATGGGCACTTCTTTGTCCCAATTAAGTTGAAGCTTCATCGCATAACGAAATGAAAATTCGAGAAATCAACTTTATAAAATTATTCACATGCAAGCATTGCAAAAAATGAAAAAGAAGCACTTACAAAGTGAGAATCAAGCTACTTATGCGTGAAAATTCAGTTGTTTCGTCTACTGTACCTTTACCCAAAAAAAAAAAAAAAAAAAATTGAGAGGAAAAATTAAAAACGGCATTGACATCAGCACATTTCTTCTTCGAAAATAAATAAATTGAAAACCTAAAATTAAAATCCAGAGTGAGTTATGAACTATCGCGTAGAGGAGAAACCTGAGATTTTCTTATCCTTTTATGGGTCTCGATACAATCTGTGTAAATTAATGGCCTCACCACCTTTGTATTTCTTGATACTGGAAGAATCAGCTATTGAGATAAAAGTATTAAATAGTTGAAACTGACAGATATGATTTAGACCTTTTCTAAACGTGTCATAAAGTAATAATTTAATACTTTTTAATTCAAAGTTTGCAGGTTGGACCTGGCGATTGGCGAAGCAGTCACTGAAGTGAGAATAAGAGCAGATATTTGTTGCCAATCAATTTTTCGGAATAATTCCAGCTGAATTTTGCTCTCGTGATTGGGATTGTGTTGGAGATGGTCATATTTGTAAACGAGGCACGGAGAGTGCTACAATCTCTCAAGAAGTTTTTGTACGAGTTTTGTTATACTTATCGACTAACTTGCAGATAAGGAAGGAGGTTGCACACGATGCCGTCGCTCCAGAATTTGCCGTGTTCAATTAGAGAGCGATAGAAATGTTGGAAGAAGAAAACGGTGGCGTAGCAATCATTTTACTGATTCCGAGCATGATAAAGAAATAATGGGAATTTTAAAATTCGTGATACTTGAAGTTATCGATACATTAAATGAACTTAACCGATGTTTAGATCATGTTTATAAACATTTAAATCACTTTTTATCTACATGATTTGTGAAATTCACGAAAATTATACATCTATTCATCATTCATTTCTATCTGTTTATAAACAAAATCGTTTATATATAAACACTTCTAAGACATGCTTTTAGAAATTTATTGTTTCAAAATAGGGGTTGGCATCACTTGATTGAAGCCGGGTACTTCAAGAACTCAAACCACCCATTGAACTTCATTTATTTTGTATATGGAGCCATTTGATTCCATGTTAATTTTGGAACCGAACGGGAATTTAAGGGCTCGTTTGGTTTGTTTTTCAATTTTCAGTTTTGATTTCATTTTTCAGTTTTCTATTTTGAAAGTCTGTTTTACGATTCCTAAAAATGCGCTTGATTTGTCATTTCGAAAAATTATTTCTTTAAACAAAAAACTAGAAAACAAGTTTGGTTCGAAATTTTAAAAAAATGTTTTATGACAATTTATTACTCTTTGATTATTTGGTAAAAATAGAACAATTTTATGTTAATATATTATCCGTTAATATTAAAGCTGGTGAATCTTATAATAATTTTTTCTTGCTACAAAAGTAATATAACTAATAAACAATAAATTAAGTTCAAAATATAGGAAATAAAAATAAAGCTCAATGATATAGATAAGAGCATTTTTATTTGTATTTATTTTAAAAAAAAATTGAATTTTTTATCTAAAAAATCATTAAAAGTTTTCAATTAGGTTAGTAGCACAAAACGTTCATATGTTTGGCACTTGTGATGGAAAACGTCCCTACATTTTATTTTTTTGCATTTTCGCCTTTATTTTAACGTTTCGTGCACAAAACATCCTGCAGTTCATCTGTCGTCTATTTCACCATTAAATGCACACTTGACTCACTTTTAGTTTCAAGCTTGAAGGGTAAAATGGTCAGACACTCCAAGAAACTCTTCTTCTCACCATAAAATATGCACGGTTAATCTTCGTAATCAAAACTTTTTACGTCCCGTGCCCGCCCATCCCACTTAATCCCTTTCTCATGTCATCGATGAT